TAACAGTTTTGTTGAATATCTCTAATGCTTTATCTTCATCGTAAGAATTGGGATCATCTCTGATACCAATTGATTCCAAATCAAAAGACTTCTTCAACTGTGCTTCGACATTGTCATAAATTAACCCGCAATGCATTAATTGTTTCTCATGTGGTAAATCTTCAATGCTTCCGCTCACTAAATACCCAAATGCTGAGTTTTGTAACACTAAATTTGTATTTGGTACATAAATTTGCCCGGATCTTATCAAATCGAAAAATATTTCAGATCCTAGAAGTAACTGAATTTTACCCGGTTTGTGAAAGTCTGGATCAGCTAACGTAACTAATATTACCTTGTGGAATCTCAATATTACAGACATCAATTTGTCTAGAAGGCATCAAATGAGTAATTTTCGGAATTACGAAAAAAATCTAGTTTACGACTGTATGTGTTTCCTCTAATTAAAATAACCGCACTTATTTTTGATTTCACCGTTGTTGAAATCTCAGATAAACATCCTACTGATACGTTTACATTTCCTCTTTGCAAATGAAGCTTCTCAGCTAATTCCGATGAACAAAGATGAATCATACTTCCACTGTCAAGGAAAGTTCTGGCTGGAAATATTTCTCCTTCATTTCCCTTAACATAAACAATCGCTGTCGATTCGATAGTAGGACTCTATTAACTGCATTAAAATTTTTATTTACATTAGCTGTCATAAAACACTCGCTTATCCTTATTTATAAATGCCTTTTATTTATGAATGGCTTTGCGTGAGCGTTCAGTTTCGCTACTTCCGTAGACGAACTGGCGTCTGACTTTTGATCCGACAGAGAGGCGATTTCACAACTCTCTCTATTTTGGGAAATCGAAACTTTTAACTCATAACACAGTACTCATAACACAGTAACTCATAACACAGTAACGAATTGTGCTTTTTTCTGCATAGCCTACAAGAGTAATTTGAAGGGCAGTTTCTCACTCCATGATTTCCAAAACAGCAGAAACATAAGTTGTGTTTTTTAACATACTCGACTCTATCCTTTAAGCTGAATGTTTGAAATTTAGGGCATTTAAATAATTTATGTTCCACATTACACAGTTTACAAATAAATTAAAGCACGTTTTTCAGTCACACATGAAACCATTGAAGAAACCTTTGATTGACTTACTGAAGCTTTTGATTTAGACATTACTGGATATTCTAGAAGCGTTTAATGTCCTCGCGTGATCCTTTAGAAAATTCTAATAACTCTGTGATATGTTCGGTATTTTTTCTTTCTTTAAATTCCTTTCCCACCATAACTTAGTATTCTGATCAAGTTTCTGGCTAAGAATAAAGGCAAATATAGCGGATGACCTCCATCTAACTTTTGTTCTAAACATTCTAACAATCTTACAACTTCACTTGTAACATCAATTAAATTTAGAATCGCAGAAGCTGACTCGTTTTGAATAACGGGAATACTCATAAATCTTTTAAGATGAGCATACACTTGTTCTCTAGGATTCGAGTATCTTTCTTCAAGAAGAGACCACGCTAACTTATAATTATTATCCGTTATAGCTATCGTTTGGATAATTCTAAAAGCATCTCCTTTCAGTGCTGATTTCAAATATTGCAATTTTACAGCATCTGATAAATTCGGGTTTTGATCAATACTCGCTTTAAAAATGTCCTTAAAGGAAAGCCAAGAATGCATTTCTCCTGAAAATGTCGGTAACGAAATCTTAGGTAAACGCACAACAGTATTTTCAGAAATTACTGCATTTTCTACTTTATTTTCTTTAACAACGTTCGACAATTTTTATTTATTTCAAATTCTATATCAATAATACTACTATTGATTTCATCTTGCTCACTGAAGATTTTTTTCGATATTTTCTTCGCTACTTAAATTGATAATAGAATCAAAAATATTATCGAATTCATTTTGCAGATTGTTAAATTTAGTTTTTAAACAATTCTAAATCACTAACACTTAAATCTGGCTCACAAAGTTTCTTTTGCTAATTTCGATAAGATAGTTTTTTTGAGTTCTCATTATTAGTGAGAACATCTTTCAGTTTTGTTAGCCATTTTCGCTACACTTATCCATAATAACAAAATTATCACACAAACTTAATTCAGAATTTACTAAATGCAACAGTTAATAATGAAATAGAGTGTCAAGGGTTTTTTACTTACCCCTTTTCTTTCAGCAACTGGCTATAATCCACAAACACAAATTCCCATTGAAACAAAATGGCAACTCACTGTTTTACACTAGATTATTTATTTAGCTGATATCTCTGCGGCTCTACTGGACCACTCAAATGGTCCGGCGATTTTTAAATGGACTGTAACTCTCAATTAAACTAATTTACAAACTACTTTGTAACATATCTTTATTATACTAACTCCCACAATCACTCTCTGCTTCGCCATTGAAGCCAACTCCAAAGTAATTCACATTCTTTTTGTAAACAGTAACGATGGCAGCGCCATCTGGCTTCAGAGGGACTTAACAACATCCATACATGAATGCACATAAATACATTTCTGAATCCAGTTCATATAACAGAAGAGTATCATTTTTTATGAAATGACTTGCATTCTCACAAATGTAACACTTATCTGATTTACTTCTGAGATAATTTGAAGTTCTTGACTGAAAAACTATAATGCGGCTTTCTGAATCGGGCGAAGGGGTGAAATTGACCTTTTGAAATAAAATACAGATTACTTCCTTTATTTAATTCTGTTCGATTTAACCAACCTTGTTTTATGGGCTGAGGTTTTATTATGTAATGCTTTCATAAATTTCTCTGCTCTAATTGACTCATTTAAAGTTTCGAAATCTTCTGCCTTCCTCAATTATGATAGTAATTCCCCATAGCTCTTAATTTGTAGGTGAATTGAAAGGGTATTTCATTTTGGAATGGTTTAGCATACTAAAATTTTCAAGCATATCTCTGCCATTGTTTCAGGTTCACCAAGAAGATTGATTTTGTGAATTTGTAGTTTCTCATTTTTAATTCTTAACATACATTAATATTGATTTTGTGAATTTGTAGTTTCTTATTTTTAATTCTTAACATACATTGATATTGATTGTTTTCCTGATATATTAAATAATGCTTCTACTTTCATTTCTTTAGAGACATTTTTAATTTCAAAAGCTCTATGTAGTAAGGTATAGAATAAATTCCAAGCCTTTGGTCGCTGTAATGTTGGAATTGTTATACTTTTAATCGTATCTTGGCATAATTTTACACTTTCTATATTAGGATACCTGTTTCGGTTACTTATGCGTGGGACACAAATCAGTTCTAGTCAGTGTGTTGTAATAGCAATTTTTTTTTTTTATTCAAGAAATGTCTTAATTCTGCTCATTTTCTCATCTGAGTCTGTCTGAAAGAGAGAATTTTAAAATTTCTTTAACAGAATTTGAATGTCTGAATTTTACAACATGAGCTTTCTGCTAGTATCGAGTTAGAGGGAACAATCTGCCTTAATTCTTTTTGAGAAATTTAAAATTTTCTTTTTTTGATATCTTTTATGGCAAACATCTTTTTTCATTCAACAATAAAAGAACTGCAGTTGTCAAGGAGAATTAAATTGGTCTGCCTTTTCCCCTTCATTGATCATTCCACTTCTGACATCAAAAATGAGACCATCAAAGAAGAAAATCGTAGTCCCCTTTGTTTATCTTATAAATTAGAGAGAAGGAATGATACTTTTGACACAAACAATTAAATTTATTTGGGTATAAGAAATGTTAAGATACTGTATGCAAATTTATGTACATCATCTTTAAAACACTAAGAGACAGAGGCTATGTAGATGTGTTTTCAGTGCTTAGCATAGCTATGTCACATATTTAGTAAAATGGTTAGTGCATATTTACATTTACAGTACAGCTACCATGACTTAAATGATGTACTTTTAAGTCTGATTCATAGATCATTGTATGCAGCGCCAAGCTATCAAATTGAGTTAGGCTTGGTCTTTTTTAAAATGAAAAGAGGAAGTACCAGACACAACACCATCCTATTTCATTAAAGGACAAATATGAATCAAACATTTGTGTTTTGATTCATGGTTATTCCATTTGTGATCAGACAGTATGCTGTTATAAGAGTATCTTTATACCTCAGTGAGATGTTTTATTTAATTATTTATTCTGCTTCAGAGAACTTATGTATATTGTATTCAGTGAAAAATAAAAGTAATTTCAGTTATAGCTTCCTAACCATGTATTTCATTTTGTAAATTAGCCCACCAGCGGCCGAGCGGTAACGTCGCTGAACACTGGTAGTTCGGTCCGAGGTTCGAATTCCGCGAACGGGCTGGCTGCATGTGTTTTCGTGGTTTTCCCCATGTGTAACGTGTATACGAGCCAGTTTCACTTAGAAAGTCCTCCACGAAGGCATCCCTCCCCTTAGGCAGATAGCCCTAGTGAGCTTTGCCATAATTAAATACACCAACACCATTTTGTAAATTAATTGTTATTTTTCCATAAATCATGTGTAAATTTATGCTAAATAGCTAAAATGATAGCTTATAAAGAGATTTTAAAAATTTTTCATAATTATTGTTTTAAAAATTAAAGCTTTAAAATTTAATTTTAAATTTAACAATCAAAACATTTTTATAAATGTTATTTTAGAATATTTTAAAAACAAAAATTTAAACTAATTGGATGTTTGTGAATTTTTGTTAAATGCAAACTAATAAATATCATATGCTGAAAATACCAACTTTTTAAATTTTGAATGTTGTTTAATTTATGTATCTAATATATGTATATAAATTTTTGTTATTTAATACTTTTAAGCAATTTGTATTATATTGTGAAGGAATTTAAATTAGTAATTCTTGCCATAGAATTTATTTAATACATTAGCTTTTATAATATTAAGGTTTATCATGAATTGAATTGTTTTAAATATAATTAGATATACTTATATTATCACTATTTAAACATGGTTTCTTTTAATATCAAGTATATATTTAAAATCGATTCTTATAGGAGCTTTCTTTGTGAACTGAATGTATTCGTTAAGCAACTGGGCAGAAGTAAGTAGTTATATTTATGTTTCTCATGCAAATTTTAATTTTAAAATTAATTCTTTTTATAAAATACTATTTAAATAATAACCCCATATATTTTATCACTAATAGCTATTTATGCTAGAGAACATGGCTCTAATAAACAGATGGCCTCAAAATCTTGTGCCCTTTCTATTGTGCGACAGCTGTATCATTTACAGGTTATTGAAGCATACTCTGGAGTTACTAAAAAGAAAGAATCTGATAAGGTAATATGAAAAGTTACAGTTTCTTTTTTAGCTGTATTCAAAGCAGAGTGTTATATAATTATGCTAGGTGTTTGAAAAAGGTGGGTACAGTCTTTTTTTCCTCGAATATTCATCTTAAGTATGCTCTTACAAACGTTCTAAAAATGAGGTAGAATATTTTATAAATGCAATTTCGATGCTGTAAGTTGGAGGGATTTATAAATGTAAAATCTCTTTTTGTATAGTCCAAATAGAGTAAGATATCTGATTATTAAAATATTCAATATTCTTGTAATATATGTAACAAAATTCCGTAATTCCGTGTTCAAAAGTATGCTTTTATGAGACCACTTATAAATTTAATAACTGTACCCATTTTACCCAACCCAGAACAATTTATTGCCAAAATGAGGATTTTTATTCTTTTTTAAGTTGCTTAATAATATTGTTGAGTATTGAATTTTGGCTGAAATTAGAGATGTGTGTTAATAATTTTGTTACTGGATATCTGTTAATTTTAAAAAATTATTTTTTCATATTTGAATTTTAATATTTTTAAAATGAATATTATCCTTTAAAATCGTCAAGCTGTTACATGAAGTTTTCACGTAACTGAAACCTATGCATTTAATTAGTTTTGTATTATAATTAAACTTTAGAAGAGAGCTACAATTTTAAAATGAAAGAACTAATCTTAATTTATTAGAAAACAGATTAATTCAAATTTCTTCTATTTTCATTTGCTGCAACTAACAACACTGCTAATGTGTATTAGAAGATGTGCATATGAATGTTTTCAGTGCCTCTTTATTTATTTTACACTTGTTCCAGAATCTAGGTAATTGAAAAATGTGAAAATGAATTGAATTTTATACTGAATAAAATCTTACTATGAGATGTAACAAATGCTAATTTACTTCTTGCAAAAGGAAAGTTGTAATATATTTTTTAATCAAGGACTGGGAAATAAAAATGTTTTACTATGGTCAGAATTTATACAAATATTCTAAATTTTCTGGTATTAGAATTTGTAATGAAGTTGTAATCTGACTGGATGAAAATGAGCTGTTAATCATAAAGGTAATATACTATTTAGAGGTGTAAAAGAATGGGAAACTTAGATATCCAATATATACTTGTGTTAGAGTTTTTTATTATATATATATCTTGTATATCAATATCTATATTATATTCATTTCTTAATCTTGAAAAACTAAAAAAGAATTAAATGCATAGTTTTTACTATATGTGGCTGTGTTCCTATTAAGAAAGAAAAAAATAATATTCTTTAAAGAAATTTTCCAGCTGTTAATAGAATGAAAATTTTTTTTATAATGATGTTAAATTTCTCTTTTTAGTTGGAGCCATATGATGTTTCTATTGACCCAAACCTAATTCAAGAAGTTGAAGAAACATTAAAGGAATTAGATATTCATCCTGTTGAAGTACCTGAGGTAATTGCATTATGGACTTTTAAGTGCACTATATATTTTGTTGAATTTAACAGCTACTTTTTCAAAAAAGTATTTCAAAATGAAGAGAAATAGGACTAGTGAAAAGTATTACAAATTATTTTAATAGATTTTTGCTTTCTGATTAGCCACATCTCTCTGAAAAGTATTACAGAGGCAATGCACTGTAATTGTCAAAATAAGGCAACCCATGAAATCGGCAAAATGTATTTATGTAGGAAACCAGGTACATGTGTGCAAGTAGAACAAGAGCTGATTCTCACCTTCAAATGAGACAGTTATTTTTCTGATTAGTGTTTGTTTCTGTTGCATTTGAATGTATTTTTTTTTCCTTATAAGGAATCATAATGGGACTGTGAAGTTTGCAGGCTCGTGAAAAGAAAGTATTGCATTTCTTCAGAAAGTTAAGAGTTTTGTCCAACAATACATAATGCAAAAATTTGTATTCCATGAAGTTGTACTTCTTAAGTGATCAAATTTTATGAATCAAAATTTGTGCACTGATGGAAAATTTGTGAAATGATGTTTTTTAAAGCTAAAATAGATCTCCATGTCCATAGGAGAACAGCACATGATGAAATTTTCAGTTTAAGTATTTAAATGCTAAAATTTGTTCATTTGTCTTGATTATAGCAAAGCACATAAGAACTTTCTGCCTACTGGGTAACATGCTTTTTTAAAGGAAATTGGTTTTGTTTACATTTTATATGGAGGAAAAAAACCATGTAAATACACATACAGCCGACTAGTTTGCCATTATTTGAGCTTAAGTGCCAATGGTTAGCAGTATTATTCACTTGGCTAATGGAGTGCCTGAAATCCATAAAAAATTTACAACAGTACAATCACTACTTTTCTTCATTTCTTTGTTCCTGCTGAATTCCTGTCTGCTTATTATTATAATTCAGGCTGCTCTAACATCAGAACTCATTACAAGGTTAGATCAATCAAATCATAGCTTTAGCCCATTCAAGTTAACCATTCCATTAACTTGCCAGCAGAGTTCCGAGTTTTTCAGCATGCTTATACTTTAACCCTTTCTGGCACACTACCTTTTAAAGTCAGAGTTTTGATTTAAAAAAAAAAAAAAAAAAAAAAAAAAAAAGTAGCAGTCTAATTAGGCCTAGAGGAGTACACAAGTAAAATTTTGTGAAGCACTTATCGTTTTAATTTTTATTGTTTTAATCAGTGTGGCCAAAGTGGCACACTTATTGAACAGAGCTTCGAAAAGAGTGCTGAAATGAGCATTGTTGTCAATGAACTGACCGATGAGATGCGGAGAAACAAAGAATACAGTTTATGTCCTAGATTATTGGTGAGTCCGGTCTGGGTTCGCCATTTGATTTTAAGCAAGATTTCAAGGTAAAAATTTAAAACTAATATAGAATAAGGAGATTAGCATACAGCCAAAAAAATAACATAGAAATTTCTTTTCAAACAATTCCTTTTATACTCTAAAAAAAAAAAAAATCTGGAAGATTTCTTTGAAAAATGAAAACTAAATATGGCTAAAATATATGGACTGGTTTGTGTTGAGCTTCCATCTACTATAATTAAAGAAGGTTCAGAGTAACCTATAGTAACCTATAAATCCTTTTTCATTCAATTTTTCTGTGCATACAGAAGGAAATTTTTAGGTGTGTCCAGACTGCACACACTGTGGGTTAACAGTTGCTGGCTAATCTGATAAAAAACATTCTTCTCCACTTCTATGTATGGGGAAACAAAAGTTGAAGCTGAAAGTTTAATATTTGAAGTTCTGTTTAATTAGAAATATGCTAAATTTTGTTATTTAAACTTAGTTGGTTTCTGGGTAGACAGCTTGTGTTCTCTGCTTTTCGTTATACAGAATTGCTAAAAACTGTTAAAATATAATTTCTGTGAATAAATGAATTAGTAATTTAAATTCAGGCCTGAATAACTAATAATGTTGTCATTTGCAATTTTGAGATATATAAGTCAATAATGAAACAATTTTATAACAGTTCAGATAATAATTAGTTCATTGGTCTCTTAATGGTTTGATTTTTGGCATATGTTGTAAAAAACTGATCAAGTGTTCATAGTTCCCAAATTTTATGTTTTAAGCGTAACAGTTGAGTTCTAATTCTTATTGTTGGGTAAATATTATTCAACATATTACAGTTTCGTATGTAATAAACTTATAAAGTTTATTCTGCTTATGTGTAATGTGACTCATAATTATTGTTTAAAAAAAAACAAATTAGCCAACATAAATCTTAAACAAATATTACATTTTGATTAATTAATTCATTCATTTACTTGACAATTCCACTTTAATGGAATCATTATTAAATAGTTATCAAAGGAAGAAATATTGGAAAAGGAAAATAAAAGGTAAAAATTGGATTTTAAAGTAGAGCAAATTAGGAAAATGGATCCAAACTTGCTTTTTACAGGAAAAGACAAATAAGATTAGACAAAAAAAGGTTGGTTAATTAATTGTGAAAAGACACTCAAACATAGCAAAAGGCCACTGAGAAAATTTGAGTAGTAATATAAAACTTGAAATTTTTAGACTTATGTTTCTAAGATATGATTGTTCATTATATTTTATGATAGCTGTAGTATTGGAAATTGCTTTTCTGTTTAGTATTACTTTTAGCCTTTAGAAGAATTGAAGGTATTGATAAGTATACTATCCTTCATTATCAAGTCTATCATGAAATATTCGCACAACTTGATGACAAAATTTGTAACATTTTGTTAACAGAACTGCTGAAAACCTTTTCAACTTTGTGATGTTGAATATGCATGCACATTAGACGATTAATAAAAGCTTTTGAGCAGAAGCCATTAACAAAGCTTGGCATTTGTTAATTTAACACTTATTTATTTGTTAATTAACTTGGCATTTAACACTCATTCGTTTGAATGAGTGCATAATTCTTTTTCTCAAGAAGTAAAATTGACGGGACTTCTGATTGTTTCCCCTATATCTCCTAAATTGAAGCCTATGCTGTTGATCATTAATTGACAATTAATACATTTTAAATAAAAAAATAACTGGTACTTGCGTATTATTGCAACCACCTTAGTAGAAGATGCCACACTCTGACAAGCATGAGCATAACAGTTCTCGAGGTAACTATCCATTCTAAGGGGCAGTCAGAAAATTCACCGAATCACTTTTTCTTATGTAAAATTTGCCAAGATGACCAAGCTTTCTGTGCCAAAATGGTTGAGTTAATACGTAAGTACAAAATGAATAATAAGAAAGGAAGTGATATACTCTTCCTTTAAACTTTTCCTTTTTTTCATAATCCCCCAACAGTATTTTCTGCTATATCTGATATTGTCTGGATAAGTTAATTTTATCTATAATTAGGATTTATACTGTACTTGTGCACTGCTTTTGAGAAAGGAAAATAAATTGTCGTACATTTTTATTATTTGTCATGCATTTGTAGTTCTCTCATATTGTCTCCGGTGTTTGTAATTTACACAGTAGTGTTAATATGTGTCACCTTTAAAATGAGGTCTAATATTTGTGACTAAATTACCTTTTATTGGATCTCGTTTCAAGAACTGTTTTAGAATTTCTTCATAATATGTAGCTAATGAGCTGCATGTCAAAGGCAATGTGAATTGTATTCTGTATAAATTGAATGAAGCTAGGACCAGTATGAAAATATTGCAACTTGACGTTATTTGTCATGTAGGAAACAAATGATTTAGATTTAAATTTTTTAATACATCAAAGTTTAATTCAATGGATTTCTTATTTTCTTTTCTAGTCCACCAGCAACTATGTCTAAAGCTGTAAAATTTTGAAAATTGAGTCAGTTTGGATTGCTAGCAGTGACATGGATTCTTTGGAGTTTTCATGGTTTTTTCAAAATGTAATTTAAATAAAAGTTAGTTTTCTTAAGAAAGTCTAGCTGGTTATAATTGATTAACAATTCTGTTAATTGTTCAAGTAGAAAATAATTGTACTTAGTAAATTAGGAGGAGTATAGGAGTATAGCAAATATAATTGAATAAGATTCTTTTAAATTGACATTTTTATACCTGCTAAGTAATCTGTTGATCTATCAATTCCAGACCCTCAAATTTTTGTGATTAATTTCATAATCCTTTATCATTCTTGTTTATTGTGAATGACCAATTTCACCATTTATCAATGAACATTTTTACCATAATAAATATATATGGTGATTATATAATTTATCTTGATTTAATCTCTAATTGTTGAACCGAATCTTTAAAATGTGGTTATAGAACATTTAAGCCATCACAACATGTAATCCTCCAACAAAAACAGTAAAATTTCTTTTACTAATTCAGAAGTCAAACAACAAAAATCAGCGTTAATTTACAAAATTTTCACAGGACTAGTTTCGATGGTTTTACCGAACCATCATCTTCAGCTGCAAAACCGCAATGAACAGATAGGAAATAATGATGATAAGATAGAAAGCTGGACAAGAATAGCAAGTGGCGCATAGTTGAGAAACCAGAACTAAAACAATTCTCTAAAAGCGAAGGCAAATTTGGATGGAATTAGGATCGTAACTAGAACAGAAAGATTTTATGAATGTGAAATGCCTCTAGAAAATCTAGTTCTCCAAGGAAGATGTTTTTTGATAATTTGGCAAGCAGAAAAATTGAAAGGTGATTTTCGACCAACAATGTTGAGCAACAGAAGACTTCTGTGTTTCCTTTTTCTAACATATGCCTCATGTCTTGACGCGAAATTTAAGGCTCTCTTAGTTGGCCAATGTAAATTAACCACACTGGCAAGGAATCCTATAAATACCAGGAATTCATTGGAATGGGGTCCTTGAGTATAGAAGTTGGCATTTTATGATGGGAGAATAAACAACCCGAAAGTTAAATTCTGCAAAATATGTGCAACTTTATAGCTAATGATGGAAAGAAGGGAATGACAACAGAATTTTATAATATCCTAAATAAGAGTGTGGCTTTTGTGTGTTGAGATGATAATTTCATCTCAACACACAAAAAAGCCACACTCTTATTTTAGGAGATTATAAAAATTCTGTTGTCATTCCCTTCTTTCCATCAATTAGCTAAAGTTGCACATATTTTGCAGAAGAAATTTAACTTTCGGGTTGTTTATCTCCCACAATAAAATGCCAACTTCTATACTCAAGGACCCCATCCGGATATGAATTCCTGGGGTATTTATAGGATTCCTTGCAGTGTGGTTTAATTTACATTGGCCAAACTAAGAGAGCCTTAAAATTTCGCGTCAAAGAACATGAGGCATATGTTAGAAAAAGGAAACACAGAAGTCTTCTGTTGCCTCAACATTGTTGGTCCGAAAATCACACTTTCAATTTTTCTGCTGCCAAAATTATTCAAAAAACATCTTCCATTGGAGAACTAGATTTCTAGAGCCATTCACATTCATAAAAGTCTTTCTGTTCTAGTTAACGATCCTAATTCCAATCCAAATTTGCCTTCGGCTTTTAGAGAAATTATGTTTTAGTTCTGGTTTCTCCAACAGATGGCGCACTTGCTTATTCTTGTCCAGGCTTTCTTATCTATCATTATTTCCTATCTTGTTCATTTGCGGTTTTGCAGCTGAAGATGATGGTTCGGTAAAACCATCGAAACTAGTCCTGTGAAAATTTTGTAAATTAACGCTGATTTTTGTTGTTTGACTTCTGAATTAGTATTTATTCAGCGTGTTATTGTGTCTTAATTAAAATTTCTTTTGTTGAAAAAGGGCTAATGATGGGGCTGTGATGAGAGGGAAGCAATTAAGGATCGATAAATGAATAATACACATTTCCGTGTATCAGTGGTTGTTTGAATGTAGGTACTTTTCCATAACAGTTCGTGCCTTTTTTTTTTTTTTTTTTCTGTTCAGGTGCTAAACCAAATGGCTATGCAGACTTTGCTCATGCCAAAAAGGAAAAAGATTCAATTTTAAATATAATTTGTTGGATCAGACATTTCTTTCATTACTGTCGTAAGATTTGTAAGACCTTTGATATCAAAAGGCAAAGCCATGAGTTGTGCGAATGAAAGCTTGCTTCAAATTAATCACAACACAGCAGTTGATTTAAATAAATACATAAGAGAGATAGGCACTAATTCCTTGTTATCTTGTCGTAATGTCAAAGTTGATGAATACATTAAAATTGTGGAAATTAAGGGAAACTTTTTTACAAAAAAGGAAAAAAAAACTAATAAAATAAAATAATGATAACACACACCATATTCTTCTCTCACGATGGTCATGAAATTAGAAAGTTCTTTGTTTCTGTTCCCAATTATTCAGTTTTGTCTGGCATTAAGCTAAAAATATGTAAAAAGAATAAATCGCCATTAACAAGTTATTTATTACTCAGTTAAAGTCTGATTAATATTGTTTTAACAAATTCTGTTTAATCATAATATTATGTCATTAAGGTGGCATGAAATGGTGAAAAATAATTGGAACGCTTTAGAAACAATCCAGGAAGTTGTGAAATATAAAATTAGCAATTTCAGGCACGTTTAAGGTCAGATTTACATTAAGCCAAAATGCTAAGTAATATTTGTAAGTAGGTTTGTTTTAGTTTCATTTCATATTTCGTGATTTTCTGACATTACTGGTAGTACTGGAACCTGAATGGAAAAGTACTGAACATTTTCTTTCCTTTTTTTAAAATTAATACTTCACAATTAAAATGAATTTAGAAATAATTTTAAAGTTTTTTCTTGTTTTATTCTTGTAGGACTACAAAGGGACTGATCCTGTTGTACTGACTCTTGAGAAAAATGTGGAAGTGGATAATCAATCTCGCCCTCACGCTGGAGGAGTTGTATCGTGGTCTCCACCTCAGCCTAACTGGAATCCATGGACAAGTTGCAACATTGATGAAGGACCTTTGGCTGCAGTAATGTTATTTTATTAGCATATTTATTACAAATTATATATGCCACTATGCATGAGGAGATGTCTCTAGTTTTATAGCGTAATAAATATCAAATGTGTCAAAAAAACTTGTAGAAACTGGCATGGTAGGTTGATCCTTAATTTCAATTAAGGAACAACCCTTTGAACCAGTGTTGCTTTCATCCTGGTTTTTTTTATTAGATCTCACAACAGATCACTAAATCTCCCAGTTTTTAATTTTTAGCCTTTACTAAAGAAAATTTTTTCTAGCAATAAATGAAATTTATTGAATTAATGAAACTTAAATTAGGCAAATTCCATCCCACACTTATATTTATTTTCAGAATAATTTTTCTTTTTAAACTTTATTTCATCTGAATTGTATTTTTTCTTACTACATTTTATTGATCTTGGTAAATTTTCCTACTTAAATTTCATTTGATGAGTTTTTAATCTGCTGTAGTACATCTGTAAATTTTTTTATGATGACTCAAGCAGTGTATCAGTTAATATTTGTATTTAATTTTGTTTACTCATATAGGTACATACTCTATTAAAATTCTATTATTTAAAAATAAATAGAGAATTTAATTGAAGTTTAAATCCAATTACACTTTGATATTGAAGTATAATAAATTTTAAAGGTATTAGGAAAGTTTAAATTGATATGGAAAAAGGCTTTACTAGTAAGGCCAGTAATAGGGATATGAGAAAATTGATAAAAATTGTTATGATAATAAAATGAGCATCGATAGGAATTAAAATAATACATCTAGGGGAATGAGCTATTTCACAATCCTGCAATCGTCAAAATCGGTTTTGTCCTTGCTATGCATATGCAATCGAAGTAGAAATTAAATTAAGTTTAATTCCCCCAAATATGCATATCACGAGTTCTCCTACATGATCTAAATTAATTAAATTATTTGGATGAAAAACTTTTAAATGCAATGTAATTAACAAAATGTAAGGTCGAATCAATGAGAGGGGATAACGTGTAAAAATGCGAAAATAAAATATTATAATGTAAATAAAAGTATATGTAATATATAAAAAATATTTGATTAAATAAAATGTTAAAATTAATAGACCAGAATAATTATAAAAACGTAATCTATACATTGTATTAGTATCTTTCAAGAATTTATCCTAAAGACAGGTGTTTTGCTTTTTGTTGCCAGGTTTATTAGAACAGCATAAATTAAGTTGTCAAAATTTGTAATTATGGCATGGCTAGAAAGTAGGGTTAACTATTAAATCGAATAAGCTCTGGAAAGCTCTTTCGATAAGAAATAAATTGCTATGGTAGTATAGTTTAGAAGCAGAAAAAGCATATTAAAAATTTTATTAAACATTTTTTTATACTTTGGACTATATTCATATATGCAAACCTTCCAATCTAAGCAATCCAACTTAATTCTTATTAAACGTTTTGGATATAGTCTATATAACTAGATTAAAAGATCAAAATGCCTTCCTTTTGATAATAAATAATTAAAATTATTGATTAATTTAATTTAATATCAGATTGCTAGCTAAAGCAATTTTTCCAACCAATTGACTTTCAAGTTTATACTTTAAAAAAGTATATTACTTCTATAAAATAAATTTGTAAATTGGGAATTTAAATTAAAATCGTAATATTTAATTTAATTTAAATAAAGACTTTAATAGGAGTGTTGCGATTTATTGTAATTGTTTAATTAAATCATTGCAGCCTCAGTACAGATTCTTAATAGTCTTTCTTTACATTGAATTGTTTGTTTATATATATATAGGTGTATATATATATATTGTACAAACTTCGTTAAGTGATGTTTGATAGATCAGTAACTAGTTCATGCTAACTAAGTCTTTTGGCAGTGCTAAGAAATTAATGATTGCTAATGAATGAAGCAATTATGATGCTGAGCTATTTTCTCTTGCTAATGTTGCAAAACCTGAGCACAATCCTAACATCAGAGGAATTCCGAATTCCAATTGCACAAACACTGGCAGGCGTAATATAATTTTTATTGAAATATACTTGTATTTCAGATATTCTTCCCTTTGATGTGATTTCTAGCTTTGCAATAGAAATATTACTTCTTTGATAATATTGCGAATCTGAAAGTTATACCATGACAAGTAACTAGCAGCAATGTGAAAATAATTACATGCATTGGAAAGTGACAAAACCGAGCACATCCTACATCGAGAATCCGATCCAAGCCAAACACTGGCAGGCGTAAATAATTTATTGAAATAACACTTTATTTCATGAGATTTTTCCCTTGATGGATTTCTAGCTTTGCAATAGAAATATACTTCCTTGATAATATTGCGAATCTGAAAGTTATACCATGACAAGTAACTAGCAGCAATGTGAAAATAATAATTACATTGCATTGGAAAGTGACATAAGGCAATTTTTTTATTTTATTGAGGAATTGTTCTTAAATATCTTTATTTTTTCAGTACTTGTCTTCACATTATATTTAGCCAATGGAATTTCCTCCATTTTTGTTTTGATTTGCTTCTCTAATATTTCTTTCATGGATTTAATTAAACAAGGCTTTAAAATTTTGTTATTTGTGTAAGTTTATTTTATTCAGTTATTTTACTTATTTTTTTGCAGTTAATATTGAAAAATTTCTAATGAAACAGTTAATGCCTTTTGAAATATTGCAAATTATGGTCCATTTGTGCTAAGCTTCATTTTCTTTAAGTTTTCTATTTTGCTTTTGAAGAATTCTAGGAAGCAGCCTGATCAGTTTGGATGTATGGTCATTAAATGCTTCTTCAAATTAGCAGATTTCAACAGTTCATTACTTAAAATGATAGTCAATAACTTGCATTGAGGTCTTATTTCTTGTCTGATTTCAACTGCAGTAAATCCAAATTTAATATTATTGCTATTGTGTTTCCTTTTCAACATATTTTTTGATTTGCAGTAGAAGAAGCTAAGTAATTACTTGTATTCTTGATTTTGGCTAAGCAACTTGAGTGCTAGAGAGGTGAAAAGTTATCAAGAAGTCATATATAAGTACCACTGTCTGCTATGATTTTCTCAAAATAAGAGAACAAAAAATTATAACAAAGTATTAAATAAATATTAAATAGAAATTAAAACAGAAAATAGAAAACTTCAATCTAAAATTGTAAAGATAATTATAATTTTTTGTTATTTCTTTTCTTTTTTTGGGGGGGGGAAGAATTCATGTTTTATGTTTGAGGACCAGGATTTGGGACCGCTAAGTCAGATTGGCACTGACTATTATAAAACTAGGACATTAGAAAAATGCACGGTTTGTATGATTTTAGCAGGTGCATTGCTGCTGCTTTTGTATGATTTTAGCAGGTGCACTGCTGCTTCTCTCTGCAAAAACCAGTTATTAAAATAGTTACTGTTTTGAATAAATATGATTTATCTGGCAAATTTCCATCAGTGAAGCCACATTTACATACACTTATTAAAGATTTAAATTTCTTTGTTTAGAATTAAAAATATTGCACAGTTATTATTCCTAAAATAAATAAACTCATATAATAAAGTATATGCATTGATTGTATTTGAAAGAAAAAACTGCTGCTATTACATTTTTTTCATGCAATAAAGTAGTTTTTCTCTTTAATAATAACTATCTAATGAAAGTACTCATATTGTAATAATTTAGAAGTTCATTATATATATATGTGTTGCAGTCATGAATTTTTCAGCAGTATTTTGTTTTTCATCTAAGATTTTTTATAATTGCGATAAAAAAAAGTAAGTAAGTAAATAATAATAATTAAAAAAAAAAAAAAAAAAAAAAAAAAAAAAAAACTTATTCAAGTCTTGAAAGTAATACTTTGTTGTTTCAGATGACACTTATGTATTAGTGAAGGCTGAAACAGAAATGAAGAAGAAAAATTAAAATGATTCAGCTTTCAAAAGGTTATGTTTTTTTATATTTTTTTTGCGTTTAATATGAGCATTATACAAAAGTAATAGTTATTGCATGTGCATTAACCGGGATTGATCAATTTAGATCGAAACTTCAAAAATGTAAAATTTTTTGTCTATTAAATGTATTATATATATTGAGATTGAAAAATGATTTTTCCTTTCGAGAAAATATTTTTTTATAGATTTTTTCATGAGAAATAAGTTGCAAAAACCAATTCAGATGTTATCACTGAAAAAAAAAAATAAATTTCTTTGATTACAGTTAATTTTATTTTGCATAATATAAAATGTAAATATATAAAATTAAGAAAAATAAAAAATATTTAGAAATGCAGTTTAGTATGATAGATTTCCAAACAGTGTTCAAGGCAAAGTCCAACTTCACAGTCTTTGCACCAGATTCAATAATTTAATTAAATAATCAAGATAATTGATGAATGTTTTCTAGCAGCCATTTCTGTAAGAAGAAAGCGGCAAAAAGTGGAGTGTGAGAGGTAATACCACGTGTCTTCAAACGCCAGCATTTAGTGGACAACTAACGATATCTATTGGCCAAAGCGTAAACTAAACGTCTAATACTGTACATAATTTATTTCAGTGGTTAAATGGGAAAAAAACGGGATGCGCTCCTCAATAAAGGAAGAACACATGCCCGCAGAAATCACGGGATGAGCAGATTTTGCTAAATTTGATTTGCCCGTGGAAATCGCAGGATGAGCAGCCAGAGGATTAAGAATACAAAATTTATTAGCATAATTTGGTATTTTCTAAATCTTATATGTTTAGAATTTTTTACTGAAATAAACATTCAAGGTTAACTCAAATTTGATAAAAATTCCTTTTGGTTTTTCTAGTTAATTTAATGTTAGAATTACCTGTTTAATTTGAACTCCCTTCCTTTTAATTTAAAATTTTTAGATAGTTTCATTCTAAAAAATCTCATATTTAAAACGATTATCATTTTACTCATCACAGATTAGTTGTCTTTCTGGAATTCTCACTTCAACAAGTGGTAATAACTTAAACGAAAGGGGGGATTAAATCATATGCAGTGTGATAAGTAAGGTAAATCTTAGGAAAATATTTAAATTTTAGTAAAATTCTTGGATAAATGTTTTTGCATTTTTCACTCAGTTACCTATTTTAACTGTATTGCAATGCAAGTCATTAAAGTGTTATTTTTATCTTTTTCTATAAGTAATTGTAATTTAATTTGTTAGAATTACTACATGACTTAATATTTTTATTAGATGTTGGAAGTTAGAAAAGAATTGCCAGTATACCAGTTTCATGATGAAATTCTTGATGCAATTGAAAAAAATACTGTGGTGATTATTCGAGGGGCAACTGGTTGTGGTAAGACTACTCAGGTATGAATTTTGAATTTTCTCTAATTTTTATTATTATCTAGAGCCTATGTAATGCTTTAAATCCTAAAAAGCACTTAATTTTTAAATTCTGTTTTTCTTTAAAAAGTTTTTATTTTTTGGGGTAAAGCTAAAATTTTTGGAAAGTTATTTTTCTAATAATTGTGATTTTTCCTAATACTTCATGTGAACCCTTTTCCTGAAATGTTATTGTGATGGGCGAGGTGAGCTTTGCCTTTTAAAGAGCTTGCTTCTATTATTTCTTCAGCATGTGAAATACAGACGTGCTGTGATTGGTTGGCAATGTTGGATATATTTCTGTATAGTAACCAAGAATTTCTATAGATAGTAAAGTGAAGTTTTGATCACCGAACTTCTAAGGAGAATAAGGCAGGCTTTCATAGACCTAATGTAAAGCTTTTTTATTGCTTTACTGATGAATCGTGGAGACGTGCTATGCAGTGAAACAAGTATAATCCAAAGAAATAGTAATAGTTTTATTTTGGAATAGTTAAAAATTTTTAAGTTATAAATTTCTTAAGGTAATGTATGCAAATTAAAACTAGTGTAGTAATACACTTTTGCAGATGGCATCTTTTGTCAAAAGGTAGATTGAGGTTTTTAATAAAAAATTTGTGATTGAAATCCTCTCAAATTTTTGTTTTGAAGAATTAGACAGCAATCATATGTTAGGGAAAATTAAAATGAAATTAATTTCTTAATACCAAAGTTCATTCTAGTTGTTTCACATGGAGTTTCCCAAAGTTTAAATATTTAGAAAAAGTAAGAAAGAAAAGAAAAGAAAACTTGTAAATTTTACTAGTTTTGGCCTAATTATGTAGGAACTGTAACTGAGCTAGGTAACGTTAAAGCACCACCTAGATGAGCTCGGGTAAAGGATGGTGAGGGCAGATGTTTGATACTGTTTTGATGATTATTCCTTTCACTTTTTACTTCCTTGTATGAAGTAAAAAGGAAGTATTGCAATCACGAAAATTTTCAAGTAGCATATTTCAACGAAAATATCCATTTTGATCGCTATCGAATACAAATTAACGATGTTTTTGCATGACATCTGTACGTAAGGACAGAATAAAAGACTTGTTTTTTCCAAAAAATTATAAATCTGCTTTAAAATAAATTCTGAAGAGAATTTTTCGTGGTGTCTGAATGTACGTACGAATCTCGCATAACTTAAAAACGAGTAGCCTCAGAATGTTGAAATTTTGTATATAAGACTGTTATAACATGTAGATGTGCACCTCGTACAGTCAAATAACGAAAATCCGCTGACCTGAAATCTGCCAACTCCTGAAATCCGTGTTGCCTCTCTTTCTTGTGTCGAATGAAAAGAGAGTGACAGCGCGATGGCGCGCTTTTACTCTGTATCAGATAAAAGAATGTCTGGAACAACAAAAGGAAAATATGAAGAATCAAGATGGTAGAATGAGATATTTCACTTAGCTGCCATCAGTCAGCGAAGAAGAAAGAAATGAAATGAAAAATAGACCAGCACTGTGAAAAAAAAGTTGGATCAGTAAGCTAGTAGGTACTTCAAATAATTAACAAAATGTTAGGTTAGAATATCCGTTGCTCTGGGAAAAGGTGAGCATCGCAAGGAGCTGATACAGCTGTTTGGATGTAATGGTACAGAAAGGAAAAAATTTGTCGCAAGTTTTTTTTATATAATTTTGTATAGTATCAATTTGAAGATCTCTGTGAATATATGAATTTGGGATGAACCAGGGTGCATTAATAATTTCACGAAGGGTTTTATTTTGAATAACTTGGATTTTTTTTTGTGGGTTTTAGCGGCGTGTCCCCATACCAGACTGGCGTAAAGTAGGTCTAAGGATAGACTTGTTTAAAATAAGCTTATTGTTGATAGTCAGATTGCTGTCTGCCGAGGAGAGGACACATAGTAGCTATTGAGATATTGAATTTCCTGACAGTTTCATGTAAATGTTGCCAAAAAGTTAGTTTTTTGTCAAGTGTGACTCCGAGATACTTACTTGATCCGTCCACTGAATTTTGTCGTCAAAGAAGATGGGATTAGGCGGAAGGAAGTTTGTTTGTCCTTTTCTGAAAATAACGGCTTGGTTTTGTCAGTGTTAACGGCAATTCTCCACAGCGTCATCCAGTTTTCAAGAAGCTCTAAATAGTTTTGTAGAAAAATTTGTACAGTATTGATGGTTGAAGCTTGAAATAGGATAGCAGTATCATCGGCAAATAAGGCGATAGTAATATGAGATTCTTTTGGAATGTCTTGAGTATAAATATTGTAAAGAAAAGGGAGAGAGAGCGGAGCCTTGAGGGACAGTAATATTTCTAGTAGTTGAGAGGGTGTTTCCAAATTTTGACAGCAAAAGTGCGATTGGGTAAGAGGCAACAAGTCGAATAAGTGGTTCGGAAATTGAGCTGAATTAGTTTGAATATAAGTCCTTGGTGCCACACTCTGTCAAAGGCTTTGGCAATATCTAAGAAATGTGCCAGTAGGAATTTGCATGAAAATCCATCAGTAATGTAATTGATATGCGGAGAGCTTATGTTTGGTGCTGTGCAGATGTCTGATCCAAATTGTTCATCAGGAGTATAAGAGCTAGGAGGCATGATTCGATTAATAAAGCACAATAATTTTTTCAGCAATTTTAGAAATTGACTAAGTAAACTGATAGGTGATAATTTTGAGGAAAAGTAGAACTTTAATGAGGCTTAGGGAAGAAACAACAACATTGCATGTTCCATACTTTGGGAAGTAAGAGAGCTTGATAACTGAGTAATTATTTTAGTTAAGCACGTAATTGCGTTAATTGGAAGATGCTTGAGTGCTTGGAAAGAATGCCATCCATCCAGCGCTTTTTTAGTTTTTAAAGAGCTAATAAAATCCGCAACAATTCTTGGAGAAGCAAGAAAGGTGAAATTAGGTGGTCCAAGGCTATTAACCTCTTTGCGCCGACTGTCACGTCTACATGCCAGCAACGAATACGCTCACTTCCCGGCCGACACGCAGGCGTGCCAGAGCGTATTCCCGTTCAGCCCCGACTGTCACATATTTGTGCCAGTGTCCTGGAACGTTTTAAAAACTATAATTTCTGCCACAAGATGGCACTGTATGTCCATATGGTTTCAGATACATTTACATTAGACCTTTTACTCGAAATGAAAGAAGCATGAATCACATACACGTGTTTTTGATTTAAAACAAAAGGGGAAATAAATGTTTCCGAATGGTGTGATTATGACGTCTCTTTAAATTCGCAGTGTAGTTGTTTATTGTAAGTAGAGAAGTTTTATTTTCGCTAAAGCGTTGGTATTTCGGTTTGCAGTTCAGTTTTTAGAAAATAATAGATCTTGTTAGACGTGAATTCTTTCTCTTTTTACCGTTGCAATGTTGAAGCGTCGAAAATGTTTAACAGAGCATGAAATAGCAGAAATGATGCAAAATATTTCAGATATTGATTCTGAAACAGATTCTGATAGTAGTGATAGTGATGCTATGATATATTCTGATCATAAAGAATCTGGCGAATCTAATGATGATGAGGACATTTCGGACATCTGTATGCCGAAAACGTCGAAAGCAAGTACTTCTCCCATGGTCATCCACAATAGAAAATTTTAAAATCCTCCAAACGGCAAATGAGTTATTACGAGTGCAGGAATGTAACTAGGACTGTGTGGAGATCCTGTTTTCAAATTTTTCATACGAAAAGGAATTTAAGTAGTAATGTATTTAGTTTTCAGATGTATAATGTTAAAAGTCATAAAATGGGAGTATGAAAATTAAGTGTAAAATATGCTTAAACAAGAAATAAGGTAATTAAAGTATATATAAAAATATCTATAAAGCATAAGTCGTTTAAATACTCTATAGAGCATTATTAAACAATGCGTTGATACTTCGGAAATTTCATGGATTTAGACTTAATAGCAAATTAGCCCCAGGTCTGAAAAAAGCCCGAGATGCTCGCATAAGACACTGCTGGCCTCCGCGATAAGCGCGCGTTTGCACTACCCGGCGCAAAGTGGTTAAGGAAAGAATATACTGTTCTATTGACTTTGGTGAAATGATCATTATCATATGGGGAAGCATTGGGAGTAAAGGTATCTTCAAGAATGTCAGCGAAAGTATTGGCTTTATCTTCATCAAAATAAACAAGTCCATTGCAACCGTGAAGTGGAGGAATCTGCTTGAAAGGCTTTTTGAAATTACAAGCAATGTCATAAAGGGACTTGTCCTCAGTAGCAAGTGTGTTTAAGAAGTTGCTCCATCGTTGAGGTTTAAATTCCTGATATCTTTTTTAATGGTCCTTTGAAGAGCGTTTAAATGAGCTTTAATTCTTGGGTCTCTAGTAGATTGCCATAATTTCCGGATGCGATTTTTATATTTAATACTTTGCCTGATGTTATTCGGAAGAGGAAGAAAAGGGTGATTACTGATGAATTATTGGTAGCAGAACTTAAAGCTTGTTCAACTGTTGGTAAAATTTTGAATTTCCGTGTCTAAGGCTTCTTTACTGCTAATGCAAGGATTTCCTGGTATAGTTTCTGTCAGAATTTGAGAATATTTATTCCATTTGGTAATTCCAATGTTGCGACCTAACGCAGGAAGGAAGCAGTTGATATTAATTTCAAGCAAGATAGGATTATGATCAGAAGATAAAGCAGGAATAACAGAAGTTTGACTATTGTAACTGAGGTTATTGGAAAGAAAAAAGTCAATGATGGAGGATGAGCTTTGGTAACCAAAATGTGTTGGTTCATCAGGAGCATGTATAACATAATTTTTATCCTGGATCAAATTGAAAATTTCAGTACCTTTTCTATTGCTTGCACCAGGATTCCAACATTGATGTTTCGCATTAAAATCGCCACCTACAAGAGAGGGATAATTAGAGTTCAAAAGATGTTCAATTTCAGCCATAATTGGTCTATTATTCGGTGGAATATAAATATTGGAGTTTATGAATTTGTTAGATTCAATTTCAATTTCAATAGAATTACTCTCAAAAGAAGTAGATTGGTTTTGTTTAAGTTAATGCTGTATACTCCTTTTAACGAAAGTAATAATTCCACCTCCTCGCCCTGTAGTTCTGTCAGATCTGAAAGTAGCATAATTTGCATAAAGTACTTTGTTTGCAGGTTGCAAGTGAGACTCTTGTATTAACAGAACATCCGGTTCTAATTCAAGAATAAGATCACCCAATTCATCTTTTTTGTTGTGTTGCCTGTCAAAATATAAACATTTAGTGTATAGGTTCCAGAAATCACAATATGGAGTATGAAATATCGAATAAAAAACACTTATTGGATAATGACGTCATATTTACTGAATAATAATGAATTATGATGGAAATAACAAATTATTGACATCATGATAAGAGTTTTTTTCCCCCTCCAATCTGCATTGAGGTTAAAAAGCAGATGATGAACTCGACTCTCCTTTCAAGTTCACGCTTCATGTTGTTGTACTTTCTGAACTTTGTTATTTCACGAGATTGTTTGGTGATGTTGTTTTTTTTTTATCCGTATATTTTGTGGATAATTTAAGAATATTTTAAATTGCAGAGCTTTTTAATACAATGACAGATAAGAAACGCACTCGTGATTTTACTGCTTGCAACATTGAAAAACGTAAACACGTTGCATTGACAGTAATGAAAAAAGTGGAAATTCTGCTAAAGATGGAGGTAGGTGCTTCTGCTCGGTTTATAGCAGAATCTTATGGAATTGCCACATGGACTGTGTATGATATACAGAACAATAAAGAAAAGCTGTTGAAATGTTACAGCAGCAGTGATTCTAACACCGGAATCCAAAACCGGAAATCTTTACATGAGGCTAAATTGGCAAACCTCGATGCTGTCTTGTACAAGGGGTTCAGGCAGCGGCGAAGTGATGGGTTACCTATTTCAGGAGTACTCCTGAGAGAATAGGAAAAGAGATTCATGCTGATTTAAAAATAGAGGAGCTTATGTAAATGGACAATATAATATAATCAGTTTATGTATGTAATAACAATTTAATGCATATGAATAATTATTAATTAATGTATATAATAATTTAATTAAATGTATCTAATACGCCTTATTTATTTTGCACTTTTAGTCTGAGTACTATCTTTTCTGTCCTGAAATCCACACAATCTCTGGTCCCAAGAGTTGCGGATTTCTGGACTTCTACTGTATTTCGGTTGCAATCGGCCGCACCAAATGTATATAAATAATTATATATATATATATTATATATACTTTGTTACCCGGCTGAGTGATCTCAGTTTCTTTACTCTTATATGTTTGTAAATTGTGCACTTCTTGCTTTAAAAATGATTGAATTACGCTGTTCTTATCTTCTTGTTAAGGTTTTTATACTTTTAGGAAATCTGCAAGCAATATTTGTAGAATTATCAACAATTTAAAAACTGTTTAAGTGCATTTAAGCCTAATTTTTAAATAACATGGTGGACATGTTTGTTTACATTTGAAACAGCAGAATAGTAGATTTATTGTCAATCTAGAGAGACTAAGCTTTGCAACAACAGAGATAACGCCTTCATTTATTATTGCAAATTAAATCATGCTTAATCCTTTCAGGAACTTTTTCGAGGAAATAAGTGTTTAAGATTTACTTCATAATTTTTAATATACATATTTTGAGTTTTTGTATATTTTTGCCTTGTCGCAAAGTAAGAACTGAATTAATTGAATAAGGAATACTGAATCGTCTGCGAAAAACTGTTTCTTTTTTGTTTTGCTTGCTTAATTTCTTTTTCACATCATTCTAGATTTATTATAGTATTGGATAGAACATGTGGCAACAATTGGATAATTCTTCAAATGATATAAATTTATATGCATTCTGAGTTATAATATGAATGAGATGTAATGCTGTTAAGTGAACCTAGGTCCAGAGTGTCTCTGGGGTAAACAAATATAGTGAATTTTAAAGAGTGCAGTTATTCTATTCCATCTTATGCGCTATCAACAAAGTAGACTTAATTCAATCCAATAAGTTTAAATAAAATCCAAGAAAAAATGCATATAATTTAATGTTGCATACAAGGAAGTCATGTGGTATACACATCAGTTTTTTTTTTTTTTTTTTCTAATGTATATAAATAAATCCTAGTGTAGCAATAACTTGATTTGTTAAAGTGGTGATTATAGTGATGCTTATTCCTGATGTCTTTCGATGCTTATTCATGATGTGTTTTCTATATATATATATAATATTTTATGTGTGCTATGGCAAGGCCATGTACCACCACTGTAAAATACGGGGAAAACTGTTATTCATATAATTATATAGCAGTCTTTTTTTTTTTTTTTTTTTTTTAAAGAGAAAAAAGAATTGTACATTACTAACAACCAACATTCCACATACTAACCATTATACAGCTATCTATGATGCAATATAAACAATCTATCACATTTGGTGACTGGCGCACCATTTACATAAAAGTCCCATATTTGCATTAAAGTTAAGTAATATAGTATGTCATAGCTGCCAATGCTCCTGATTTTAACAAGAGATTCTTGGTTTTTCAACATATCTTACATCTTTCGGTAGATTATTTAATCTCCTGGTTTTTAATTTTTAAACCTATATTAAGAAAACTATTTTCCTGTGATAACTGAAATTTCAGTTGTACAAATTGCATTCTCCCACTTCTAATGAATTTCAAAATAATTTTTCCTATTAAATTTTTCCATCTGAACTGAATTTTTTTCATTCACATTTTTATGATCTTTTTCCTTTTTTATTTATATTAATTTTTTTGTATTTTATTTAAAGTAAATTTAGTTTTATTTATTTTAAATTTTTTTTGTATCAAAATTTATTTGGTCTGAATTGTCTCAATCCACTGTAGACATTTTAAAAATTTTTATATTTAGATTCAAATATTTAATCAGTCAATATTTTTATGTAATTTTGTTTATTTCAATATATTGTACATTATAAAGTTTATCCATGTAAATACTATGCCATTGATTATTAATTTTATTTTCATCTTTTTAAATACTTTAATAAATTAAAGCTTTCCTTCCCTACTCAGGATTTCCTCAGTTTAAAAGTGCAAGATTATTAAAAAATGAAATTGGCCCCAAAACATAGCATTTAAAATATCTTTTTTAAGTAATGATGTATTTTATAATGAGAATCAAATCAGAAATAGTTCAGTAATCTGAATCATGCATTATGAAGTGGATTCAAGTCAGTTTTGAGTTCCTTTGAAATGGCATTGTACACAGAGGAAAATCTCCCTGTTTTTTAGTTTTAGTTTCTCCTAGTTTTTTAGATTTCAGGGTTGACAGCTAAGGTATGTTTCTGAGATACTCTGGCTTTACAATTTAGAAATTTGTTTGAAAAAATTTCAGCTTAATAACAGATTTCAGTTATTTTATCTCCACAATATATTATTTAATTTACACTAAATCAGCTAAGCTTATGTTTATATGTTAAGGAGAAGATACTTAAAAAGTGCCTATTTTTCCCACCTGAAAAAGAATATATACCTTGTTGTCTTATCCATTTCAGTTTTCTATTATCCTTTCCATCAATTTGTGTAATTTATTTATTAGATACTATTCATTATTTTCAGATGATATTTTCTGTGGTTATTGGGGCATATACTATTTTATGATAAAAGAAAAATTTTAATGGTATTTCCATTATTTTTAATTTTAAGAAAATTATAAATGACAAAAGATATGGTAAGCTAGTTTGACATATCAAGTTAGGAGAAATGGTCTTACATGTAAAAGGTTTTTAAGTCTTCTTGCATAACTTCTATTTGTTATTAAGCATTTTGTGCTGCTCTTAGGAACTATTTTTTAGCGGCTTTTGTTACATAAAATAAAAATTTGCTATCATGATGAAGGTTTTACTTTTGTTTGTAAGTTCCGGGTTTTAAAATTATTTTATATATTTTAGGTTCCACAGTTTATATTAGATCAGTATTTGTCAGCTGGATGTGGAGCTGATTGTTGTGTTGTTGTTACACAGGTATGTATGTCTGATTAATTGCAGACATTATTTATTAAATGAATCATGAATAAAAATTTTTATTAAAACATTCAGTAAAATTTGTTCAAAATTTTTTTTTTTCTTATAGCTTTGCACGAACTGTAAATACCTGTAAAAAAGTTAATAATGATGAAAAGATTTCAGTTTAAGATTTTAATAGCACTTTCTATTTGTTAGTTGAATTTTGTCATTTGCTTTCTCTGTTCCTACATATTATGAAGACTATATAAATTATAGATAAATGTATTAAGAAAAATGGAAGCTGTTATAAAAACATATTCATTGTTAAGCAGCAAGTTAGTGTTATTCTGTACCAAGATGAAAAAAAATGATGCAATAATACATTTTATGGTACTGTTCCGTTATAGTGGCATCAGTTAAAAATGCAGCAACAACCACACCAAATAACTTGGCTCGAGAATTTAATGTTTGAAATATTGTAGCTCAAGAATTGTAGTTTTTGTTTGAAATATCATCGCTTGTTATTTTGAATATTTTTAAATTTTTGTTTAAAATATCGTCACTGGTTGTTTTTTTGCCATATTTCTCCTTTTTTTAGTATGATGGATTACACAATTTGGCAGTTAGTTACCTAATGACGAAGAGGCTGCCATAAGATTCTTTCAGGATAAAGGAATAATTCATATCAAAACTTTGTTCTCAAAATCATTAACGTCGATTGAATTTTGCGAACTTCAGTTAGAAATGAGCCATAATACAACAGTAGATTGGAGTAACTATTTGAGGGAGGTATGTGCAAATTGTTTGATGTCTTGTAAAAGAATTAAAATCGATGGGGCCAACAAAATCTTGGAAATAGACAAAAGTTTTTCTACAGGAAGGGAAAAGAATGTTGAACGTATTCTTTCAGAAAAATGGTATTCGGGGGTTTACTTCCAGAATAATGGGATTCCTGAATATCCATTATTTCCAGAATAATGGGTGTTCTTTGCCAGGAAAGCAAAGAATGTTTTCTGGTTGCCGTTCCAAGACAGTTATTCTACGCTACGAGAGTCGACAGCAAGTTGTGGGCTGCCAGATGTCGTTGCTAGTGAAAAACAGGTCTGCCCGACATCCTATATTCTCTGAGTATGGAAGTTGTCGAAAGCGCGTGAAAAAGTGTTGCCGCGTCGTCAATCAGGGTTGTGCAGTTGACGTAGACAATGGCTTTGTATGTGTTTTTGCTGCTGATTTTTTCATATTTAAACGAAGAATACGGTCGTAGATCTCAATCGGTGGTGAATTTATAGAAAATATGTTGATGCTTGCTCTGCCAAAAGATGTTTTCATTGCGTATTTCAGATTGCCAAAATTTATAGTTATTTTAATTGGCGATGAATGAGAAGTATTTGGAGCCACTTCAAAAACAAGAACGCAATTTCTACTGAAAGAAAGGTTATACTATTCCTGAAGTTATAGATATAAATTGTATGCTTTAAAAATGTAGAAGATAATAAGTTTATCACACATAAACCTTCTTCATTTATACAAATATAGACATTCGATAAGCTTCTACTCGATTTATGTAGCAAGAATTACGTTTATTTAAAATCTAACAGTTGAATACCTTATGAATAATACTGTGAACACAAAAGGTATGTCGTAATTTTAGCGAATTCACGCTGTTGTAAAAAAAATTAAAAAATTTATAAACTATAAATAGCTTTATAATATTTTTTTCAGTACTATACTACTACTAGTGTGATACTTTTAAAAATATGTTTTAGCCCAGGACCTAGTACTTAGTTTCGTTTTGGCCATTTGTGGCATTTCACTTTTCAATCGTTGCCACCAAGTATTATCGCACTCTATTATATTTAAAGAAATTAAATAATGAGGAATCTGCAGATATATGAATGTTTCTGCACTGTGGTAAAACACCGTACCTGAGCATGAAAATCTGAATAACATAATCCTCCATCCTATCTAGGCTCTGGAGGCCCAAAATGAAAAAGGGTAATTTGTTTTTCATTTCTATTTGTATGCATTCTGAGTTTTGATTAAGAAACCCAACATTTTCAAAGTGTGCATGCAACCCGGGTTTGCACGCATTGGGGGAAAAAAAAGGAAGAAAAAAACATTTTCATCTCTGCGCGCGAGACTGTTGTATCGGAATTCTAAAGATATGCTTTTTAAAATTAATGATATTGCTGTTGATTGAATTGTATGGTTAGTGCGAAACATGATTTAATAATAAGAACACACAAAGTTAAAAATGGCCTTTGGAGTAATAAAATCTTGAGGCTTCAGTATTTTTTTTTTTTGTTGTTTGTGTGTTGTGTGTGTGTGTAATTTAGTGTTAAAATGGTTCTAGTGAGGAATAGGGGTAACATTATATATTAAAAAATATTGTTTCTTTGCAACTAAAAAAAAAAATAACGATAAAAAATAAAAATAAAAATAAATAAATAATAATTTCATAGCATTCTCATTTTTATATTGTAAATGAGAATTGATATTATTCTTTTATATTAAAATATGTCAAACGTGGTTTGAAGATTTCAATGAGGAGACCTACACTGATTATTTTTACTTAGTACTTGCATTGTGAAAATATTACTATCTTTTAATTATTTTCACAGAATAAAACTTTTGAGAAGGAAGAATTTAACTGAGCAGTCTTATATAATAAAAATTAAAATAAGGCATGTATATTAAAAAAAAAGATTTAGTAATTGTGACAAAAATTGCAATCTAATTAATCACACATACAGGATAGATTAGTTTAATTTTGGTTATATATTTTATATTGAAAAATATTTTCTTTCATTAATTATAGAATAAATATTTAAAGCATTTTGATGCGTGTGGATAGTTGATGGAGCAATCGGCCATATGAATGAATTTATTTCTTCCGAAAGAAATAATTTCATAGAAAAAGAAAAAAAAAAGGGAAGAAATATTAAGAAAGAAATTTTCTTTTCTTTCTTTTTAAAGAAATATTTTTTCAATAGTAACTGTAAAATAAATTGCGGGAAAACAGTTTTAATGTAAGCATGGGGGGGACTTAGTTTGCTATTAGCTTGTAATGCAAATTAATCATATAAATTTAAATGAATTAAATTGTTTATTTCTAAAAGAATTTGAAGTAAGCTTAATTCATCTACTCTTACCTATTTACCATAGCTTTTATGGTATCACATATCACTCTTTATTTCTTAGCTTTAAATTCCTGCGTTAACTTTCACCTTAAAAAACAGGATTTTCCTTCACATAACCCAGCAGCATATTCGGCTGCGTGTTGGTCATAATACTGTTTTGTGCAATTTTTTCCGAATTACAAATGCAGCGTGTGAGTTAGTGAAATAATGGGAGAATATTCCTAGAACTAGCAGCGCGCGTATAAATCGTCAGTCGGTTGTAGCGAGTGGTCTAAAGCTCCTTGAAGCCTTGCCACTTCAGTACAGTCGATGGACCCACCCGCCCACCAACTGAGGACCACAGCTGGCGTCTCGATAAGTTTGGGGGCTGTCCACCCGGTCTTTGAGTCAATATTGTTCGCTTAAGTTGTAGACAGATCCAGTGACCATAGAATAGGCGTCCTGATCGGTGTGTTACGACATTGATGACTGCCATCTAGGAAAACATTGCAGATTGCAACAGGCTGCTGGAAAGGATAAGCAAGAACTAAGAAATGCTGGGTATGAACATTTCACTATAATTTTGTTGACCCCGAAACTGGATGCCATACCCAAACTGGAGCGATTGTGGGGTAGTGCTAAATGGAGAAATAAACGTCAGCGAGGCACTGCTTGCCACCATATTTAATAGAATTTATGTGGCGTCGACTATATTCAAAAACTTATTCTTCTGCAATATTAAATGATATTTGTAATTTTATGCCACCTGTTTAGGTTGTATTTTGTTTTGTTTTGATATTTTTTATTTATATATAGAATAGTTTAAGTTACAAAATTAAAAAGAAAATTTACTTTCTTTAAGAATTAAGAAATAAAAAAAAATTACTTTTTACAGAATTAATTTTTGTATTGAACTTTACTATTATTTTATAATTTAATACTTGGTGAGAATTGGTGGCAAAAAATGTGGTGCATTTTTAATTGATGCTGCTGTAACGGAACAGTACCCTTTTTATTAATTACTTAATGTGAGCTGTATAATTTTTAGATAACCATATTTAGGAAATGGAAAATATTGTTTTAGGAGGCATATATTTATTATTTGCTGGCAAAATCCAGTATTATTTGTTAAGAGGGTAAATGGCATCTTTTGTAAATTGTGTTATTGATGTTATAAAAATTGAGTTTATTTCAATTTGCTATGCTACTAAGTATATATACTTTGGTAGAATGCTTTTAGGAAGTGAAAAGGTTGATATTATTCTGTATTTAATATGTTCAAGTTTGTGGATAAATTGCCTTTTTATATTATTACAAAATTATTGTTATTATTACTGCTTCAAATCTTAAGCTCTTTATTGTTGCCTTACTTTTTTAAAGACCAATGACTTTGCTGCGTCGTACATTTAAAAAACTAGCAGCCCAAATTTCGTGTGAGATAGCAATCATTTCCTTTCATCTTTTTATTGACCTAATAAAGAGGTCTGAAGTTTTTAAATGATATCATTTGTAGTTTTTGCCCTAAAGAAAGTTCCTACAAAAGAATGCTATCTTATTCTCCTGAGCAGAAACCCAATTCTGTGGATAAGTTATAATCAATTACTACTGTCAGATTTGCATTTGTCAGAGGGAGGGTAGTAAACAGACTATGAGGCTCTTAGACAGCTGATGTCTATGGTTGCTTGCATTACTACTATAGCCATTTTTAACATTTAAATAGTAAAACTGTGCAGTTCTGTCCAGTTACATCATAGCTCAATTATTATTATTATTAATGTTAAAGGATATTCAAATGTTATTAATGTGGAAACATGAGTAAATAATGTTATCTTGTCGTAGTATGCCTAGCAACAAAACAGTGATTCTTCCATGCCAGAATTTCTATATGAATGTTGTAAATTTGCAATATTTTTCTTAGATGCCTCATAGTTAAAATAAAATAAAAAAAGAGAGAGGGAGAGAATTGCAGATTTGATTTATTTTATTTGGTACCCATTATATGGACTAATTTGATGATTCACAAATTTTTTTTATGCTATCTTCGAAACTGATTTTCATTTTTATAGTCAAATGCTTTTAAATGCATTTTTTAAGCACACGCCTCCTGATTATTTCTATATTCATTATTTCTAAATTCATTAGAGTCATTTATCTTGATGGTCAATGTATCAGTTGTCTATTTATCTATTAGGCAAGCAGCTAGCAATTCACTTACTCACAATCTGTCTGCATTAAAACTGCTGTATAAATGGTCTTTCTGTATATTAATAATATGTATTCAGCTTTTTGGGTGGTAAACTTTTCACTTTATGTATAATGTGTTTATGTAATTTAAAAATATACCTGAAATTTTTTAAATGTCAGTATTAAGTTGCTTTCATTGTTGCATAATTTGATTAAATCTTATTGCTTTATTTTTTGAAGTACTATATACATTATTTTCCTCTCACACTACTAAATATTGTGATTATTAAGTTTTATATCTACTTTAATTATTGCACTGTGGCTATGGCTTGAAAGAAAAGATTAAAATTTTTTATGGCATTGTAAATTATGTAATTTATTCAAAGTAAATCTGAAAGATAATTTTTTTACAAATACTTTATTAAAATTTTAGCCTCGAAGAATAAGTGCAGTTTCTGTCGCAGAAAGAATAGCTGAAGAGCGTGCAGAATCATTAGGCAATACAACTGGATATAGTGTAAGATTTGAATCATGCTTACCTCGTCCATATGGATCTGTTCTTTTTTGCACTGTTGGTGAGTATTTATTTCAATCATTTTGTTCTATTTTTTTATCATAATTTAAGAGGACTTAAAATATTATATACTCAACATTTTAAAATTCACTTTCAATAATCGAGAGTAGTTATCTCCCTCAATACTAAGAGTGCACAAGTGTAGAGGAATTTTTAAGGGCAGTAGGGTTTTTATTTATTTTTAAAAAGATTTTTGTGAGAATGAAGGATATTCAAATGTTATTATCATCTTTCAGTTCTGAATCATTGAATGCAATTTTTTAGCAAATAAATTAAACATAATTCATTTTGCTTGAAATGTGTAGCTATATAAGCAAAGCAGCAAATTAAAAAAAAATATATATATATTTTCAGTGTTGTATTATTTTATTTACTAAATATACAATTACATAAACTCAATATACAAGTCCACACCCTGTATATTTTGTATATAAAATAATGCATACTTACTGTTAAAATTATATCAGAAATTATAATTTGACATTTAACCACAATATTAAGTAACTAACAATTAACTACAGTAATTAAGTTTTTTAGCCCCAAAAGGGCTGTTAGTCTCAAAATGGGATTTTGCATTGGTTCACTATACTATAAGCTGCATATAATTTTTCAAATTGTTGCCACCAATTATTATCACCTTCTATTATTTTAAAGAATGAAATAATGAAGAATCTGCATGTATCTGCCATTAAATTTTGAAAACGTAATCCTCCACTGAATATGGGCATCTGGAAGCCCTAGTTTGGCATTTGAAATTTGTTTTATTATCAATTTCATGTTTTGCAACACTTCAACGAATTTTCTACATAACAATAAATAAAAGCCTTATTTGTGTTATACAGTAAATTACTGAACCCAGAATATATTCATATATTCTCATTTACTTTAGAGAGAGTTTCATCCTAATCATCTTAAAATCCCTCTTAAATAAGTCTTCTAGAAAGGCATTCTTGCCTCACAGGAACAACCACTTGCCGAGTACTGAATAAAGTCTTGTTCTGTTGTTCTTGCATCAAAAATTTTTACTGCTGTGTTTTATTTTCATTGTATGTCCTGTTTTTAACCACACATGCAGAAAATATTGTAAAAAAGAAGGGCTTTGGTTAGGTACATATTATCATTTACTAAGTGGTTTTCAGTTTAAATTTAAAAAAAGGGCTTTGCTTAGGTACATATTATCATTTATTAACTAGTTTTCTGTTTTCAGTTTAAATTTAGAATTATATTAACAGTAATGTATTGAAGAATTTCAAAAGGTATGATTTTTTTTACTTCATTGAGTATGTGATGTTTATTTAAAAAGGATTTTAGAAAACTGTTATATTTTTCTTTTTTCTGGAATAAATAATGCATAAATTGTGTAAGCTGAAGTATTAAAAATCAAGATATTTTTTAAATCATCAAAGTACTGAAGTACTTGTTTGGTGCACTATTTTGGAATATCATTTGTAGTTCTGTAGCGTAAATACGTACCAGAATTTCAGTCGTATCTGTTTTATAGCTTTTTAAATATTTTGTTATTGTTGAAATTGATTTTATGATGCATATTTTATGTATTTATAGCATTCTTATTTAAAAATAAATTAGGTTTAGACTAACTTTTCTCTTTTGATAGGTGTCTTGCTTCGTAAATTGGAGGGGGGTCTACGTGGAGTTTCCCATGTCATAGTTGATGAAATTCATGAGAGAGATGTTAATGTAAGCTTATATATTTTGCCATCATTATTGTTAGATCTTCTAGAATAATTAATGGGTTTTTGTGCCAACAATTTAAATAACTTCCAAAGTAAGAAATTTATTAACTTAATACATATTTTTATTCAGACGGATTTTATCATGGTTGTCCTCCGAGACATGGTGCGTGCCTTTCCGCAGATGCGTGTCATATTGATGTCTGCTACAATTGACACTAGTATGTTTCAGGAGTATTTTGGAGGTTGTCCAATTATTGAAGTTTCTGGTCGAACTTACCCAGTACAAGGTAAAATGCTTGTGTATAACATATATGTCTTTGCAATTTTTGTCCTAAACCTTCTTTTTAAAACTATTCCAAATTTAGTGATCTTATGTGAATGTAATTTATTAATCAGTAAAAACTCAGAATATCTCTTATTTTAATCATACTGATTTTCTGCTGTGTCTATGACTTTCATAATCATAATTATTTGTTGAAAAATTATTTTATGTTTAAACTGTGTATTCTGTATAATTTAAACATGCATAAAAATTAAAGTCTGTTTTTAATTGGAGGTAAGATAAAAGGCAATTTTGTTATTTGTAAGTTAACTTAAAACTATAAAATATATCCCTCCCATCCAAAACTTCACCCTGATCACTTTATAGCTGGTGAAAAGAATTCCAGATTGAAGAAAATTTATATTAAAATGTTTTTAAGGTACTAGAAATGTAAAACAATGTTATGGATTTTTGTGAATGTCAGTTATAATAAAATTTAAAGAAGAAAGAGATGCACCAGTTATTAAGTGTATTAGAAATGCATGTCATTTTTTAATTCTAGAGTTTGAAATCTCTTGAAATGAAATTGTCTATAAAGATTTTTGTTTATATGGCAAAATAAAAGATGTTTCTTGTAGAAAATCTTTCATAATGCTGTTCTTGAGATGAAAAGAATGCATTTAAATATCTGTAAATTGTAAGACGATATTTGTATTTTTTAATGAGATTGAAACAGAAATTCGTGGACTAGGATAATAAATAAATAAAAGTGTGATCTTAAAAAAAAAAAAA